TTTCAACTGTAACCAATTAACCGTGGTGCTCTCTAATCAATCGTGTTCCATTGTTCTCCAGATCCTTTTTGTGAATTCACCTAACTTTCACATATGGAATTTTATCCATGAACAAATGCTCTAAATTTCAGGAGAATGACACTGTGAACACTGAAGCACTTCATGCCCAATTCTTCACATGAATCTTTTGTCTGTGGAATTATTGAACTGTGCTCATGAAATATGAGAAATAAAATTATCTTTATTAATTTTTTCATATTCTTTTAGTCATTAAAATTTTATTCTACGTATTTAAAGGCATGCAAAGGAAGGAAAATACTTAAAATACAAAGTGAAGTCATTTAAATTATTGTTCTTCAAAATATGAGCCATTTGTACACAATTTTACAAGTAGGAATGATTAAATGTTTCATGTAATTCTGACATAAGGTTTAGAGATAAAAGAATATATCAATATTTGAAAGAATACGAAGTGTATTCAGCTACACATATGTGTGTGTGTGATTTGTATTTGAGCTGTTTTTTTATTTAGAAACAAAATATAAACAGGAAAAGTAAAAGAAGTTGCCACACGATTAGCTAAAAGAGAAAAACTTTGGAATCACCCTTAAAACCTATTTTAGAAGCTCAGTTACTTTGATTTTTTTCTATTACAGAACCATGAAAAGTTATTTCAACTGAATTACATACATAACTTCTAGAGTGTAGACAGTTGCTATTATTTGTTCACTTCATCAAAATGCTCTTTTAAATTCTTGCTACATCTGTATTACCAGGTCTTGGAGAAAGCGGGGTGAAAGAGGCCCAGGAGAGGCCAAAGCCTCTTTACTATTTCTAACAAAGGAAATGCCATTCTTGCCACTAACTCTTGGAATGATTTCCAACTTCTCTAAAAATAATTTAACCTGTGTCAAATAGGAGTCTCATCTGGAAAACTCGATAAATGAATATAGAAATTAGAAAGAATAGGGAAAAGTTAGGTGTTACACTGAAATGGTATATCCCAGGCATATTGAATTGAGATTTCAAATTAGCCAACACACTTTCATACATCTGCTCATTTTTCTTTAAACTTGAGCTATATTATTGCAGAAAAGCATAATAATCCATACTCTGATCTTGTATTTCAAATGAAAGAGCCTGAAACACCAGGGCACAGGAACTTTTGTAAAGAGCTTAAATATTATGGGAGGATGAATTTCCTTTGAGGATCAGCATTTCTAAATTTAAAGGACAAATAAATACAGGGAAGAAAAGTAGGAGGAGTAACATAGAAAATATTCTGATCTAGTGACAGGGATTCCAATATTGCATTCAACTTGAGCTTAAAGAGGACATGCCTATTAAGTTATTCCTCATTTTAAACAGCAGCTAGGGTCTTTATAGTTTTGACCAAATTATGTCTTAGTAGCTAAGTTACACATCACTCTACCTGAAAATGTGCTCGCATTTAGAAACGTCAGGCAGATTCTTATACAACAGTGAGCAGCATATTTTTCTTATTTTTTAAGATGGGATTTCGTATACTGTTTTCTTAATATGAAGCATTTTTATTAATGTGGAAGCTATTACAAACAAATTTTAATTTCTGCTATACAATTCTGAAGGGAAATGATATTTTAGAACTCTGGCTGTTAATTTTTTTGAGATTAACGTTTATTATATGTTGGTGCATTTGTGAAAAATTGGTCCAAATGGTTTTCAGAATCACCTAGTGTCCTGAATCAGAAAAAGTAGAATAGCTTTAGGTGAGATGACTTTGTTATTCATTAATTTTTATAAAGTATCAGTACACTATAGTTTGGATTTTATTGTCCCTCGAAGCTCCCTGAAAAGGTTTGGTCCTTAGCACTGGGAAGTACCACTGGGAGGTACTGGAACCTCTGAAAGGTCTAGTGGGAGGTTTATAGATCATTGGAGAGGTGCCCATGGAGAGAAAAGCAGGACTGTGGACCCCTTCTCTCCCACTCTTTCACACCCTGGCCATGAGGTAAATAGTTCTGCTCTGCCATATCCTTCTACCATTTTGTTCTCCTCCCTGCTGCCAACCAGAAGCTTACAAGCAGTGTATGTCTAACAGGTCATGGACTAGAACAGTTAAAACTAGGAGACAAGGTACACCTTTTTGCTTCGTAAGTCAATTATCCCAGTTTTTGTTATAGTAATGAAAAGCTGACTTATATATACCCAGGAAGATTTTTCAAGGTAACCAAAGCGCAATGGAACAATTCTGCATTTTAAACATTTTTCTACCTTCTTTTTTTTTGGAGGGTGTACTGGGGTTTGAACTCGGGACCTTGTGCTTCTGAGGCAGGCAGCAGAACCACTAAACTAAATCCTCAGCCCTACCTTCATTTTACTATGACAGATTCAACTTCCAATATTTTGTAAAGAAAAGGAGTTACAGTAACTTGCATAAGTTCTTGCTGACTAGCATGAGGAAGAAAGTGAAACACCCTATCACATCACATGATAGTACAAATTCAGGGTGATGCAATGACTCTGCTCTCCTCTGTTCTAATATTATTTCTATTATTATTGTTATTATTATTACTATTATTATTATCGTAGCTTCAGAGTGGGTAGAGGGATGAAAGAACACAATGCATGAATGATCCAATATTTGCTAAGAACTGTGCTTAAAATTTGGGCTTCTCATTTACAAAGAAACAGATAATACATAAGCAAACGAAAAAGAAATCCTTAATTTTTTTCCCCTACCAAATCAAGAGTCACTGACTTTTAACAGATCTTGAAATGAAAAATACCCCAGTGGAATATCAGCCCAAGAAAGAATGACACTTCTACTCTTGTCTCTGAGGGTTAGATAGCTACAGTTGAGAGCTGTAAGGGAAATGGTCAAGCATTCGTAATAAAGCATAATTTTCAGTTGACTCGAATTAATATCCCCTTAATTACAGATATGAATAGTTAAAATGTATAAATATGAAACTTTAATTCCAAACTGAATTAACAAACCCAACAAAGATAACTTGACTGTATTTCTTTTAGGATTCAGCTAAATTTAGTAAGATTCTCTTTGGAAATGATATCATCAAGCTCTTCATCTTTATATCGTTTAATAACATCCCATTTTTCAGGGCTTCCTTTAACAAGTACGGTATACCTCTGTTAAAAACGGTGAGCTACTGAAAGATAAAGCTTGAAGAAAGAGGAACAACTCTATGATTGATAACAAGTATTTTTGAAAAACTTTGACATTAATTTTATTCTAAAGCAGATTTGACTAAAAAGCTACACTGGTCATTTTGTATAAATAAATCTAGTAATAGAATTTCAATACTCTCTAAACTATTGTTCATTAATGAGAATTATCCAGCTGAAACTGCAAATGCTTATAAAAAACTTTTTGAGAGTAAAAGGAAATTTTATTTATTGCTGTGTCTTTCTTGGTTCTATCACAGGGCCAATTTATGTTTACAAATAATTATAGAGCTGTCCTAAAGGATAAGAAATTTGAGTCAAGATTACAAATGTGAATTAAAAGCCTGACTTCAATCCAGTATTAATTTATGAGAAACTTGTATTCTCCAGAATAGGCTAAGCCCTGCCCTCAATCACTTTTACCCACTTTTTTCCTATCTCCTGGTCAGTGATGGAAAAGATTACTAAACATTTTGGTGATTCATTGCTAATGTGCACCTCATATTTTTATCCTACCTTCGTGTGGCTAAAGTCTTAAAAGTCTCCCCCGCAAAAAATGATGTTTGAAACACAATAGATTAGCAATTTGAAGCAGAATTAGCTGTGATCCTTCCCATGAATAAATAGATGAAATTCAAGACATTTCTAAAGATCCAGCTACTTAATGGCCACTGAAGTCTTCAGTGAATAGGTGTGATTATGTCAATGTAGTCCAACCGGAACTGAAAAGCAGTTCTTCCTTCAAACTTTAAATACCTCCGGTGCATATATATGTGTATAAATGTGTGTGTGTGTATATGCATGCATATATATATATATATATATATATGTGTGTGTGTGTGTGTGTGTGTGTGTGTGTATATGTGTGTGTGTATATAT